GGAGCCGGCACCCTGAGCCACCGCCCCAAGCGGGTTTGGTTCGGCGGGCCGCGGCGCCGCCGACAGCCTCCGGCCGCGCCCCTCCCGGCCCGCGCCGCTGCGCCGCTCCGGCCAAGCACAGGAGTGTGCCCTCGGCCGGACGGGGCGCCGCCGGTCCCCGGCTGGCTGGGCTGCTCCCCAGTCCAGTCAGCCGGCTGGACCCCCTCTCCCCTAGTTCAGCCAGCTGCCCGTTAGTCCGCCTCAGGCACCTCGAGTTCGTGCGCTCGGACACTCCCACAACTCCGTCTTCAGTTTCTCGAGCAACGTTTGGTCCTCCGGTGATGCAGCGATTACCGATCGACGGATTCTCGAGGACAGCGCGGGTGAACCAAGGAAACTCGAGGGCGGTGACGAGGAACAACCAAACCAACCAGCAACGCACTTACCTGGAACTCAACAGACAAAGGAGAGAGACAGGCCGCTGGGTCGAGAGAAAGTCAGTACTCAAATAACTCGAGCAATGTCCAACAGTTCTTCGATAAAAGGATTGATTTGGTTGAATGCTTGATTGATTGCATGATCGAAATGTATAATAATGACACATTCAAATAATAAAACGTTGTCATATAAATATTATAATTGAACAATATTAGTATGGGACCACGTGTGGCTATATGTAGGCATACCTACGGGTAGGTAAACAAAGTCAAAAGTGTGAGACAGAAAGCGAAGGTGTCCGCCTTAGCCCTTACGGCCAGCATACCGCTCTCATCTGCTTAGAAAGAATCAGGCAGCCAGGGATATTGTCCAGAAGGGCTGCGACTGATGTCGCTTTACCTCCAGACGTTTTTTCAGGAGTCTGCAATTTCGTTCAATGCAGAGGAGCGATACGCAAGCCACCGTGTTAGTCAATGTTGATGAGAGTTTGATTATGTGCTAAGAAGAAAAGAAAGGAACACAAAATGTTTGTAATAGCATACATATTTTCTGCGGATAATTACATCCAAACTTTCGAAAAGCGCTGCGAAGTTTTGCGAGTGAGGCGAATAAAGTTGTGAGTGGGTGTCGTACAAGGTAGCGCCTTTGGTGCCGTTATTTGAGTACTGGTGAGACCGGGAGGTGAAGGCATTCACACACACATATCCGCGTGGGATACCGTTGTCTCAAAGAAGGTGGCGTCATAAGGCCCGATTGATAAAAGTGCCAAAATTTGAGACAAGGCAGACCACTTCACCACAACATCGATACTGAAGAAATCTGGTAGCACTTGCCCAGCAATCGCTATTGATAATGATAAAAACATGCACTTTCGTAAAACGATTAGTCTGATGTTACCAGATTTCAACAGCTGGGCGTTGCAGGCATCGCCGGCCAGGAAAATTGATGGCAATATCACCATGGCAACCGGTTAAAACGGACCAATCGGCATTCGACCAAAGTCCACGGACCAATGGGCGTCCGGCCAATGGCCAGCTGGCGGTTATCCAGGCGGCGCGGATGCCTCGTGCACGGTGAGGTAACGTTAGCGGTCCTTGTCAGAGCTGGCGCCTCCGCGCGAGGTACTAACCGGCCATGGGAGCGCGCTGTGGGGACATACTGACACCCGGACAGACCCAGGCGAGTCGCCAGGAACCGGCGACCGGCAGAGCCGCTAACCGGCTGACAGGGTACACCACGAGTCGGGGCCGGGACCACTGCAGCGCTCCCGCGACAGAAACCACCCCGGGAGTACCGAACCAGCCGCTCGAGACCTGGGCACTCCGACGGCACGCCGCGTCGGGCGGGGCGCAGTGACGGGAGGTGGCGCGCGAGCGGCGAAGCTGGCGCAGCGCAGTACGACACGCAGGCAAACAGGCAGCATGTCAGCGAAAGAGCTTTGCGGCGAGCTCGGCGGACTCGCTAGGGCTTCCTTCGGCAGCGACGGCCAAAGGTCAAGGTCAGCTGGTAAAAGGCGAGCTCCGGAATTATCCAGTAGCGAAAAATGAGATACAAAATCAGCCACGCACACTTCTTTAAAAAATTCACAAGAATTATATGATGGGTATGTTTGCTCAATGAACTGAAAATTTAAATCAGAATGTGAAATTGAAAAGGTGCGAAAACTAAGGGTGAAATTTTCAGGAAACGCAATTTCAGCCGACTTTCTTGACGAAGGCCATGTTTTGTACATTTTTTTTTTTTTACAATCCTCGACAGGGCGCCCCTTATCAAAAGATATTACAATCATATACAAAAATGCAGCTCTTTTGTACACCCTTATTTCCAGTGTCCCTCTCCAGCGGCGGAGCTGTGCAGTATGCAGAGAGCTCTGTTCATTCTGTGATTGGTCGCCAGCCGGAGTCACCCAGGTCGCGAGCGGCAGAGGCTCTCAAATTTAGCGGCGCTCAGCGGCGCGGGACGCGGACAGTACACTGCGCGAGCACCAGTCATTGAGGACCTCTGGTTAGTGGAAGCTTTAGGTCGACATGCAGTTTGAGACGGAGCCCGAGCGACACACGTATAGCGCCGCCGCCGCCGCCGCCGACAGTGCGGCAGACATCGCCGACAGAGAGAGAGAGAGGGAGGGACCGGGAGATTCGGATAGAGCAGGACTGAGGCTGGAAACCCGCGGCCCAAGTTCACAGCTATTGGGTACCCGTGCCAAATTGTACGCCCAAAAAGCATGCGTTTGATACTAAACGGTGTTATGGTCATAATAGCAATGCCTGTCTGTTCCTAAGATTTTTATCGATACCGTTCAATGTTCCGTTTCACTTTTCGACTACCTACACCTGTTGAATATGTTGAACAACTGAACCAAACTATCCAAACCAAAGTATCCAATTGAAAGTCCCAGAACACGAAACCAAACCGAAGCAAGCAGGCGTCAAACGCCCCATAAAGTGCAGTGTTCAACTGCAACGCCCTAGCTCCACCACCCGGCCCTTTTGGCCCTCCCACCGCCGCACGAAACGTGCGTCTTACCGGTGACCGTCTGACCGTCTGACCAGCACCGCTGCACAGACACAACTCTGACTGTCTCACAGCTGTTTGTCTGAACTGAAGGAGACGCGAGCCGAGTAGCGCCACAGCTCCACTGAGTCAGGAGCTCCCCGGAGCACTGGACTGTCGGCCAGCCTTCCCGACTGCACCTCAGGGCTTCCCCCGTCCCCCCCGGTAAGCCTGTTAGTGAGCTGCGCTGTCTCGGTATGAGTCTGAGACGGCGCCAGGCCGCCCCCGCGCCACGGGAAGCGGCCCCCACCTGAGGGGTTTCCGTCCGCGCCCAGATAGGGAACCGGTCGACACAGCGACCTTCACTGAGGAAACCCAACCGCCAGCTAGTCCTCGGGAGGGTGATAAATTCAGTAACCCAGCTATAGCATCAACAGCGCCATGACCAATGGCCAAGGCCCAGGGAATTCCCTAAGCATTAGCAAAGTGTCCGGAACAAAGCGGAATATACATATATGGGATGCTAATGCTAATTGATTGTACGAATGAATTCAGCTAGCCGGAAAAAAACAGCACACAGTCTATGAACTTCAATGGCACTAACGCAACGCCACTAGACCACCTGATGATGGCACTATTAGTCATTGGCATCAAGCCAGACCCTTTGGGAACCCGGGAAAACCTTGAGCTCACTAGAGGTCCCGGGAGCGCTAACGAACGCCCAACAGTACCGCATTGACCATTTACAAGCCCAGTACCAAAATCAGCTTATGTCCCCGGAAGACTAAAAGGACACCGAACCCCAGAGCACCGAGGAAGCACTGCGGGAGCACCACGGGAGCACCTGTGTAGCACCGACCCGGTCCCCGTTCGTCGGACCACTGCAGCGCCCTCTGAGCTGGACCGTCTGCCGGTGCCGCGCGGGTCAGCCGGTATACCGTGTAGCCGGGTCGGCCTCAGGTGAGGCGACACCCGAGACGACACTGACACTGGAGAGCCCCCCCCCCATCCGGTGGTCGTGGGTGGGAGCGCACCGGGCCCGCCTCATAGATAAAACTACGGCACCTGAGGCAACACTGACACTAGAGAGCCGCCCATCCGGCGGTGGTGGGAGGGACCCGCACCAGGCCCGTGTCATAGAGAAAAGTACGGCACCCGAGGCGAGACCGACATTGGAGAGCCGCCCATCCGGTGGTGGGTGGGAGCGCACCGGGCCCGTGTCATAGAGGGAAGTGGAACTACGGCCATGAGCCCGTCCCGGGACCGTGTCATGGAGGGAGCTAAGGCCCATGAGCTCAGGGTTATCGTTGAAAAGGTGACCCGTCCCGGGCCCGCCTCATAGAGAAAACTAGGGTCCTGAACCCAGGATATCCAGATCCCGCCGGTGACCCCAGCCGGGCCCGCGTCATACGAGGAACTACGATCATGAAACCAGGAGACCAACATCTTACGAAAACCTACATTCAATAAGTCATTATCTGACTCATCCTATCGAGTAAGGCAAAACAATATCATAAAAACGAAAGTTTTGGGACTGTTTCTGTGGGTTGCAGGACCCACTTTGCTACTGATATCGGGCCCTGGACGGCGAATTGTCTTTCCTTTCCTTGCATGCCACGGATAAATTCCATCAGCTGACAGAAGCCCTGGTATCAAAACTGATTCAACAGCGTAGCCCATTTCCTTTGCCTTTACAGTCCTAAACAATAATCATGGTATAGACAGGGAACAATAGCCCATTTAGCTCGGCTCAATGGGGTGCGGTCCAGTTGGACCATGGTAATGCTAGACAAGAGATCTCAGATCAGCAACCGACTCTTTCGCTGGTTAGAAGACCCCGGAGGTTAGGAGGAGACTGGCGCAGAGTCCAGCACGGGTAAGTGGCAGTAGGTGAGAGGACCGGAGGATGAAGTCAGCGATGTCTGCTCCGCCCGCCAGGTAGCAGTGGTGTCGCCCCAGCACAGCGGCAGCGGCGGAAGCGCGGCGGTTACTGGCAAAGCGGTAGACACACCCACTCACACTCAGGGGCAGAGGGGAGAAGGAGAGAGGAGGGAGCGGGGAGGGAGAGAGTGGGGCAGAGCCCGACGTACCTTCAGAAGTGAGGCGCTCGACAAGGTCGGAGGTTTCTGAAACACAGAGAGGGAGAGGGGGTTAGAGTGGGCGGCAGAGGGGGCGGGGGCGGGAGGACGAATGGGGGCAGGGTCAGGGGGGAAGCAAGAGAAGAATCATGTCATATCTCAGCCGATGGTTACAGACACCTAGCCCGGAAGAGCTGTCATTAACGAATGTCAAACCATTACTGTGAACTGCTCCTCGGCCGTTTTAACGAGGTCAGCGCTTCCATTACTCAGGTCGGAGCAGTCAAAATATGGCTGAGACCGATCACATTTCGTTCCAGCCGCCCACGCTACCACAGCAGAATAACACGGAGGCCTACCAGGGAGTCTATGTATATGTCCCCCACTGGGGTCCGGTTCAAATATATGGTCCCGTCTGCGTGGGGAAAGGAAGTCAGTCTTATAATGACAAACTTAACACGAAATGAGGAGGTTGGTTAAAAAATGTGAAACTTAAAAAAAGCTTGAACCCCGAAATGTGCGGTACAAAACGAACTACACGTGAAAACGGCCTCTAAGAAGGATCTATGTGTTTTGAAGGATCTAAAAAAACAGCAAAGAAAAAGACATAATGGAAATTCATTCCCGGTCTCTCACGTAACGCCCAGTCGGTGACCCGGCGCGACTAACCCTGCCCAGTCCTTCCTAACACCCCCGCCTACTCTCTGCTGCCTACAACTGTCTATTTTGTGCTGCCTAAGATCCTTACCTCCGACACTGGTTGTGGTGATGGTGGTCGATTTTTGCACCAATCGACCGTCTTCGGTGACGGTATCGCTCGTTTGTTGCATTACGGTGGTTTTACTGCCATCTGGAGACACGAAATGGAAACAGTCGTCAGTACGGTAAATATAAAACAACCATCAGAGAGAACAGTTAAGAAAACAATGGTTAACAAATGTGCTGAATAGCTTTGTGTCCGACGATGGTTACAGCACTATCAGGGAAGGTTTTCTGTAAAATATCTTTGGCCTGTAAGTTCCCGTTCATACTTTCATCAGCTGCGTTTTATGTGAAATGTCATGGTGACCTATCCTACACCAAATTTCAATGACAGGACGTTCGAGGAGAATCGAACAGCAGCAGTTTGTCGCAGGCCCACTGGGACCAAGCCATAGGGAAAGCCATATTGAAGGTAGGCCCATCATCGACTGTTGGGCGGATGATCGGTGGTTTTTACTGACGACACCGGTAAATTATAGCTACAGAGGACACTGGAACCTGCGGGGAACCCTGGACACAAGGGTGGAGCTTCCTATTCACTTGGTGGGGCGCCTGCCCCACCAACTTGCCATTTTGCCCCACCAATAAGCGTTTTGCCCCACCAACTTAAGCCGATTTGCAGGACTTTACTGCTTAGCAAACCTATGTTTTTCGCATTGAGGAGCTTTGAAATGTCTGTGTAATGCAAAATATTATCTCTGTAATGAAAAGAATTGATTCATTGTTGAATTTTATCTAACTTAACAATCGGACATTGTAGGTTTGACAACTTTTTGCCCCACCAACTTTCCTGGAAAAGCTCCACCCATGCCTGGACGGTTACGTAACTGCAGTACTGGGTGAGCACTGGATGGAGGATCCGGGCCAGGCGCTGACAGAGCTGCAGTGTAGTGTTGTCTAACGATCTGTCGCCTCCAAATAAGCGGCACTTAACACGCTATGTCTTTGATTTCAGCAGTTGATCTAGCGTGAAGACAATGACCTCTATTCTAGTCGGATGACGACATTAAGGATAGCAAAATAACTACCTACAATCGACGCATTCTCGACCCATTACGGCTCATTGTCATCAATAGGAGAGGAACGGGATTGCTGGACAAATCATGTATCTAACCGTCTAAACGGAGGCGAAAACGCAAGTAGAGGCCAGGTTTAATCAGCGTTTCACATAATATGCCCTCAGATACATATAGCCAGGCCAGAGAAAACTACAGAAAAATATTGTTAGTCGAAAAGCAGAAAATTGAGCAACACAGTCTTGTTAGGTGTTAAGACAGCCGACAAATAGCAGAGCCATGTTAAAGAAACTGTTACTCGAGTGACTTTGGTAGAGAATGAAGGAAGGAGCCGTCCAAAGAAACATTGAACAGAACAATCAAACAGACACAGTACAGACATGTAATAAAAAAAAATCATACAACGATGGCACTGCAGTAAAATAGCAACATTTAGTTAGAACAGGTCAGCCAGCTTGGCTAAGGAGCTACCTACTATACATAACTAAGATAAACTACACTAGATACATTATAAATATTAAACCAGTATAACGCCTTTTGGGGCGACTAACGGAGCGAGCGAGAGGGTGGGCCTTGCACGTGCGAAATTGTGAGGGGGTACCTCCAACTGACTTGTGCACGGCACCCTACTAACCGGTCTCTAGCGATGTGCCAAATTTGGGCACAATCGGCCCAGCCGTTCTCGAGATCTGGAAGCGGCACCCTGCACGTGCGCACGTGCAAAATGGGTCCCAACTGACTTGCGCACGGCACCCTACTAACGGGTCCCTAACTGTGTACCAAATTTGAGCGCAATCGGTGGAGCCGTTCTCGAGATCTGGAAACGACCCCTGCACGTGCGCACGTGCAGCAGCGCCCCAACTCTGGCACATGGATATGCAGTGCATAGTGGGTGCCTACCTACATGCCAACTTTCAGCGCAATCGGCCAAGCAGTTACCGAGATATTGCAACAATTACAAAACGGACACCTCTTCGTTTTGCACGTGGCACGTGCATAAGGGGTCACCCACATGCATCGGGAATGGTCCAATACTTGGTAGAAGGAATGAAGCTACCCTACAAAAATTGCAGCGTGTAAATCGGTCAAGTGGTTGCTGAGATATAAGCCTCGCAAAAGCGTGACCACGGGGCCGGCCGGCCGCTCATACTCAGAAATTTCCGTTAAAGGTAGTGTGCCAGCTTTCTTGGACCGTATGGAGTTAATGGCCCAGATAAGGAGAACCGGATTTTTAGAACTTATCCATACCTTCAAAACTCATGGAAACGTCTTAAATTCTTCAAATTTTGAGTACCCCAGTGCGAAATTCGCCCCGACGGGTTGTCGGTCGTACCCCAACCACATTTCACACCACTATGAACAATAAATGCACACACTGAAATCGCTATTACCGATATGCTCATCCAATCAAGTTTCGATAAACCCGTTCATCATCATCTCCTGCGGTTTCGAACACGCCTGTTAGGTGGCTTCTGATGCTCGTCGAGGTCGGAATTTCCAAATACGCGTGGTGCGTCGGGCCGCGCGCTCTGACTTCGGCCAAGAAAAATGCGTCAGCTGATCATTGTCATTTCTGCCACTTGCGTGTGGTGAAATGGGGTCATAACTTATAAGACGGCTTTTTCATATCAATTATTTTACATAAAATCATATTTCAAACCATAAATAATGTTCGACAGCCAAATAAAAGAAACAATACCAATACGGGCTAACAGTTTAAGGCTCGACATTGTGTTGTCTACGATTAGACAGCTGATAACTCATTCCCGTACGTCGTATGGTCGTAACACTATAATGACCTTTGCTTATTGTCACAAGTGCGCCGCATTCGCGATTGTTGCCCGACGCCTGTTTGCAGGTGAGCCCACTACAGTTGTTATACATATCTAAAAACCGAAAAACTTTTAGGCGAAAAAGGCACTATTCCAGGCCCATTTTTGATTTTTTTTTTGCGATATTAGGTAAAAAACAGAAGCTTCTTATCCTAGGAAAAATAAAATGGGAAATCTTTCAAAGGTGGCACACTACCTTTAATCTAAGGAAAGACTACGCTCGCTTCGCTCGCTCCGTAACCAACAGCTAGCTATCTACTGTCTAGTATACGGCACGAATGCCTATTTTAACAATTAATAGGTGGTACCTACAGTAGGTGAAACGGCTACTACGTGAGAAAAATAAGACAAACTTAAACTGTCCGAGACGGTAACAAATTTCTATCTAACGAGGATGCTATTATTATTTTCTTACTCTCACAAATCTCATTGATGCAATATTCACCCAGTACATTCCCACATGTTTACCCCGATCATCACATACATTAGGATATGTCAATCATACGACAAAATTATCATTCATAAGACATTTATCAACAGAAATACAACCCAACACTGATCCTTGGCATACGCCTACCACAAACACAAAACAGACATCGATTTAGCACCAAATACCTCTTAGACAAACATTCCAAACATGAAGAAGGCAGCTCCCAGGCGGCTGGGGAGCTGAGCTCTGAATAAAACAACACACACAGGCAGGCCAGTCGACACGACACACACCCCTCTGAATATACCGGAAATACAGAAGCATGCCCTCGCCGGACACCGACAAACATACCCAAACAGGGAACACCCAACAGTCATGCCACCAAGTAAAGGAGGAAGGGAACACCAAGCCGGAAGAAGGGAACACCCAAACCGGAGGTGAGGCGAATAGAAGACGGCTGGCAGCAAAACATGAGGTCATTTATGCGATAGTGAATGTGATTTGCTAGTGATTATGTGATAGTTTCTTTTTTCGCCATTTCCATCTAGCTGGAATTTCGAAACGATTTAATTATCCTGTAGTGCGTGCGTTAAATCTGATAGATTTGCTTACCTGAAAACTTGACTTGACCATTTCTTTTTTGGCAAAATGATTTTAGCAAATTTATGGATTATTCGACAAACCAATCACCGCCAGCCGTTTTGCATTCAGCGGACCCCCGGCTACCACTGCAGTCCAAGCTCCATCCGCCCGTATACACAGCAACGGGGGGTGGGTCGGTCACGTGACCGGTGGCCTCAGGCGGAGGGGGGGGGGGGGTCGTACCTGGCTGCGGCGGCTCCAGCTCCGTGGGGGTGGAGGGGGGAGTGGGGGCGCGGGGCAGCTCGCGGGCCTCAGAGACACCTGTGCGGGGGGACAGCAGTCAGAGTGATGGGGGAGAGAGCGGGACAGAGAGAGAGAGAGAGAGAGAGAGAGAGAGAGAGAGAGAGAGAGAGAGAGAGAGAGAGGGAGAGAGCGGGACAGAGAGAGAGAGAGAGAGAGAGAGAGAGAGAGAGAGAGAGAGAGAGAGAGAGAGCGAGAGAGAGAGAGAGAGAGGGAGAGAGAGAGGGAGAGAGAGAGAGAGAGAGAGAGAGAGAGAGAGAGAGAGAGAGAGAGAGAGAGAGAGAGAGAGAGAGAGAGAGGCGGGGAGAGCGGCCAGGGAGGGAGAGAAACAATCGACAAGAAGAGGTGCGAGATAAGTTTAACAATTAACTTCCAGATAGGATATCAATACTTTCAACAGAACAATCAACATAACAATGCCGTATTGTTTTTTTTTTTGTTTTTTTTTTTTGAATTCTAAGATTTTGAAAATCATAGTGAAAGCAGCAACGCAAAATTATTTGTAATTAGCCCCATTTGTCGATTGCTCTCCCGGCCACTGAACTCATACAAAGTAAGAACGGTAGGGTAGCTGGGGATGGTGCCGTTAGCATAAGGGTACAGCGACCGATTGGGAACGGTGACAGCGGGTGGCCCAGAGTGGGTCAGCAGTAAAGGGTCGAACTAAACGAGCTGGCGGATGTAGTTATGAGCCCGCCACCTGTGCTAGGTTTAAATGTGGATAATGGCATACACGTATTGGAAAGTGTCATGGAAACAAGTACCAATCACCCGAGATTTATGTGGTAGGAGAGGTCATTTCACACCGTGACACACATAGAAGACCGAATAGTTGAGGCAGTCACTGCACCACAGAAACCGTGAAACCGATGGTGAAAAACACCACAAACAGCCGTGTAAACCGACAACAAGCGGCGGCATTATTCACGATGTCCACACAGCTGGAATCACATTCACAGAGCGAGTTGTGCAAAGTTCCGAGCCGACGCGTTATGATCACGGTAATTTGGCATAATGGTCGCACTTCCCACCGGTGAAAAACTGCCTGTGAGCCGTGTGAAATGGACCAGCACGGTGCAACGAGAGACGACATCGTCTATTGCCGAGCATTCTAAGTTTATTGGGGACAATTTCTCGCTTTACTTCAAAACACGGGCAAATATTCGGGAAAAGTAATTCTTTCTGGCCTTCTGGGACAAAATATGACAACAATATTGCATAAAAATATACCAAGTGCCCAAAAGCATAGAAATTTGAAGGAAAAAAAATGTAGGACAACAGGGAAAGAAAATAAGCGGAGCCAACTAAAGAAAAGCCTGTGCAACACAATTAGCGAATGCACACTGGAATGTCCGAAAAGGAGAGTTTATGTGTCGGTTTTTTCAACACAATCTCCAGACCAAGACGTCTGTGCACCGACCAGGCTGAGTGGGCTCTACACAGCGGGACACCTAACTTCACGGAGGGACACCCTGCCGTGCACAGTCCACACAATGGTTCAATCAGCTCCACAGAACGGTACAGAGTACCGACACCGGTCACCAGCGTACAACACTTCAACATCTGTGTTTAAGGCTGAGTGCCATTTCGTCAGCGTTTGTAGAAGTACTGGAGTCGCCCATAAACAGAAGACACCAGCCTCGGCTGGGGGACGCGTGTGGGCGTAGACCAAACGAGGGGAACTTGGAGCTGAAGGGTGCAACAGGACACATGACACGTAGTGGCACGGGTGTGGTTTGCAAAGGGTTCTCAGAAACGAAGATGTGCGCTGGGGTGTTTTGCTCTACCAAGGTGCACAGTGCACACTGCTACCGATCGGGGTGCCGAATGGGCACATATCGGGTGCTGAATGGGTACATACCGGGTGCAGTGTGGGTGCTGAATGGGTACATACCGGGTGCGGTGTGGGTGCGCACGGCAGCCGTGGGGACAATCATTGCGGGCGTGACCGGTGACTTGAGACCCTTCTTTTCTGAGACCATGACCGGCTCCTCGACAACGGGCTCGTCTGAAACAGGGAGACACGGGGAGGTCAGTCCGACAGTCCTGAGACCTGGGGAGCGGTCAGTCACTGGGGGGGGGGGGCAGTCACTAGGGGGGGGGGGTCGCTGAGCGGTCACAGCCACTGAGGAGGTAACTGACGGGGGGTCGTGGCCATTGGTAGGGGAAGGGTGGGCCTGCTGGGTTCTGCTGGGCTGGTGGCACCTGAAAAAGCTACAGTACAGTGCTGAACCTGGGTAATGTGAATGAGACAGACACACTGCAGCGATTAGCTGGCCAGCAGAGAAGAACGTGTCAGGGCGGTCTGTAGACAAACCATCTATGCGAACAAAAAACAATTCAAAAGAAAAGCTCAGCTAGTCACGTTAAAACACAAATGCAACAACAAAAACAATAAGCAGTCCAATCAGATAAAGCAAAATCAAGAAGCAGAACCAAGTACCAACAACATAAACAGCAGCGGACTTGACAATGAGCGCAACATACAACGAAATAGATAGCATACAGATCCTGTAAATCCGTTCCGTTCTGCACGTCCTAACTGAACGCATGTAATCGGCAATCGCATCACAGGGGCCTATATTAGGACACAGACTACCGGCAAATCCGCCAAATCGGCTCACCAGCTCAGATTGGCAATCAAATTACTGACGCCAGCTTAGCCGGCCGCGAGATCGATTACATCCTATTCATAAACACATGTAATACCCGGGTATCAGGGCTCTTCCTAGCGGCTTGAGCAAATAGAACGAAGGAGGGTAATATTGTCGCAAATAACAGGCAACGTAAGCAAGCAACAAGTAATACACAACGAAAAAAGTCATGCCAACAAAACACGGAGCTACACTGGAGAAGACAACAATTAACAATAGGCAACTGCAACAACACCCAACTGCTAACAAATCATATAGCGTAAAGGGTAAACATAAGACATTACAACGCTTTTCATTTGCGCACACGCATATGAATCAACTCCCACATCAAAGCGTGCGGCGGTTGGGGCGCCACCCAGCAGGCGTTAATCTATTGGCACCGGGACAACACCCCAGTCCAGGATTGGAGCAGCGGCCGGGCGCAAACATCCGTGCTGCTATCGCAGAGGGTTTGAACAGGCAGCGGCGCCGCCTTCACACACGGGCGGCTCACAGCCAGGGGCGCTGACGGCTGGGTCAACGGCGGGTGACCCACAGACCTGGTGTGGAGCGGACGTGTATTTGGAGGGTCTACTTACAGTCTGGTGGCCCCGCCCTACCAGGCCTACAACGGTACGCCCCCGTCCCTTCTCCCCGCCCTCCCAGACTCACAGAGGTCCTCCTCATCAAACTAACAGGCTCTCCCTCCCCCTGTCCCGCCCTCCCAGACTAACATGCTAACAGTCGACGGCCCATTCAGGGCGAGTGTATGTAAGTACACATGTGCACGGTGTATGTGTGTAATGTGTATAGTGTGTGCGTGTGTGAAGGAGGAAGATACACAGCTGGGTGTGTATATGTGCGTATGTCTTATTCCCTGCTACGAGCGAAACGTTCAAATGCCTGCTGCCCTACTTTGAATTTTATCTAAATCAAATATTATTTGATGGTGACTCAAGGAGCCATCACGGGAGACGTTACATTGCGCTTGGACAGCACCCCTGTGCAGCAGAAGGTTCATAACTAATAATTTCAATAAGACACCGCATCTCCCGCCCGGTCACCGAATTCGGCGCCGGTAAGACCCTGTATCCAGTCCACAATCCCTCCCGGTAAGACCCTGTATCCAGTCCACAATCCCTCCAGAGCCGCCGCCGCCCAGCCCTCCGTGTTCTATACCGACTCCCAGCGTGCCGAGGTGCCGGGGGTTGGTATGTGGAGAATCTCACGTCTGCAGTCCGAGGCAGGGAGGGCAGGGCTCACAGTTTAATGCACCGACACGTGCCCACAGCACGGCGCGTGGCGCCGAGACCGGCACGATTTAAACAGGAGTATACAGCGGCGGGGAATGTTCACTGGAATTTAGTCATGTTCTGTGGTTAGGCGATATTGTCTTGGTGTGAAAATATGTGCAATTAAATCGCAACCATCCAGCAATGCAATTTATACTAGAAAAAAATCAAAATATGTCTATGGCAGGCAGTCAAAAGGCCGCTAACGAATTCCAGACTGGCCTGACTTGGAACGAAAGACGATTACCTACTGCACGCGATTTCCTCGTGATTTCAGTGGCACGCACCAATGTACAGTGGACTCAGCTAACAGAGGCGAATCAGCACTGCTCATCGAGGCCGTTATAAACATTCCTTAACGTTTAACATTCCTATCGCATTCCTACAGCATTCCTCTGCATTTTTGTTGGCTTCAAAGTTTAGAACAGTGCCAGCATGTTTCTATTAATAATAGCATTTCTAGAAAATGCAGTTTCACTACCTCATACCCAGACAGGATATCGCAAACACCTGTTCTGACGTTTCGTCTGCTTATTACGAGTGGCTGAACACAGAGTGGATTTTGCTGCTATGGAACGCAGCCTTCACTAGAAGGTCCGAAAATTAAGGCGTAACACTGCATAGCTGACTACCATTCATGCGGTTTATCCACATGTAAGAGGTAAAACAAGTCTAGATCACAAAATGCAGCACGGTTAAATTCCAGCAGGTGCGTTGTTGGTTTGTCTTCATATAGGTATTGCAAGAATGGTGTTCTGTTCACTTTTTTCAAGTGAAGGATGTGATTATGATGGTGCCAGTGTGTAAATGTCTCAACTCTGCACTCCATGTTATAGTATTGCAAAGTTGTTCGTGTAGCCGCTACTACGCCTCGCCCCCCATCTTATCCCACCTTTCTGTAGCACTTGTCTTTTCGGGCTGGTTCTACATATTTCTGCGTCCTCCAACAGCCCTGAGCCCGCTCCCGTTCCCCTGTCCATCCAGAAGCAATATCGTACCTGTTGGTTCCCTGTACCAGTACCCGGGATATGTACCAGTACCCGGGATATACCAGTGACCGTTTACCATAGCTGTCGGTTCCCTGTACCAATACCCGGGATATACCAGTGACCGTTTACCATAGCTGTCGGTTCCCTGTACCAATACCCGGGATATACCAGTGACCGTTTACCATAGCTGTCGGTTCCCTGTACCAATACCCGGGATATACCAGTGACCGTTTACCATAGCTGTCGGTTCCCTGTACCAGTACCCGGGATATACGGGTAACCGTTTACCGTACCTGTCGGTTCCCTGTACTAGTACCCGGGATATATCAGTGACCGTTTACCGTACCTGTCGGTTCCCTGTACCAGTACCCGGGATATACCAGTGACCGTTTACCGTACCTGTCGGTTCCCTGCACTCAGTTGGTATACCGTACCTGTCGGTTCCCTGTCGGGCCGTTCCAGCGGCGGCTGGGTCCTCTCCACCTCAGCCAGGGCGTCTCCGAGCTCCCTGAGCACCATGGAGCGCCGCTTTTCCTCCCGTTCGGCCACCTCGGGGTGTTCGAGTTTGACGGGCGCGATCTCCCGCTCCTGCTCGATGGGACTGGCCAGGTCGGTAACGGTGACCTGGCCGGTGGCCGGGCCGTCCTTGGGCGCGATGGGCGCCACGGGTCGGCTGGGCCGCGGCGCCGCCGGCACCGGCTCCGGGGCCGGCTCCGGGGCGGAGGAGACCGTCTTCTCCTCGGCGGCGTACTTCCGCTCGTCGGCGTCACCGGGCGGCGTGATGACTGAGGGAGGGTCACCGAGAGGTCACCGAGAGGTCACATAGGGGTCATCGAGAGGTCACTGAGGGTCATCAGGTCACCGAGGCGTCACCGGGCGGCGTGATGACTGAGGGAGGGGTCACCGGGCCAGCTGGAGGTTACCGAAGGGTCAGAAGAGGTCACTGAGGGGTCACGGGTTCTGCTAAGATCACTGAGGGGTCAGGTCACTGAAGTTGCTCATCTCCTGGTATGCCGAAAATATGTGAGTTACAAACGTCTGAAGAGAACAGACACAGCACATCCAAAAGGCGTCAAGGATGGGTCATTTGTTTTTACATGGCGGGCCTGCAGCGCTTGAGGCAGCAAAGCTAACTAACGGAGACAGCAGTAACTCGAGATGACAATGTTTTCATGATAAACATAAACACGAAACCGAAAGTCATCACCACATATGCCAATGCTCAAGAGTGATGGGAAACAACACAAACACAGGCACATGGTAGGTAGGTGAGTGCTCACAGCCAGCCTCAACGTCAATTCGCCTTTCTCCTATTGATTTCCTTGGCTCGGAATGTCTTCCCGGAATAAGTAGTCGCCCCCTCCCTTCAATCCACCTGGCACGCCGGGGGTCAGTGTCCTCCGTTCCCGCCAATTTTTCCTCGATCGCGCGGGAAAGCCACACCGCAATCGATACCGGCGTTCAGCACCCCCAAATTATAGCCAGTGGCCGGGGAAATGGGAACCACGCACAGCACTGCCCGGATTGGAGCCGACGGTGGCCGTGTGTCCCCAAAGGCAGGCTTCACAAGACAGCCAGCGAGTTTCTGCAATAGTACTTCATCCGTATGCGTGTAAAACTTTAAAAATAAAGCGTGAGATGATGTTTTTCGTACTCCAGCGTAGATGGGTAGCCATACGGCTTCCACGGTTGACAGTGATGACATAAGTCATCTTTTGCAAGCTCGTTAAAGATTTGGGCTGATCCCCGTACACCCCAAATCTTTAACCCGCGCCCGGCTGGGGGTCCTGGATTTCCACGCCCTGCTGGGGGGGGGGTGTTTGAACACCCCCCCTTGTAACTCGGCTCCTGGGCCACGTAGCGATACGCGGAAGGCGGCGTTCGAAAGAGCGTCAAAAATAATGACGAAATCACTTCGGTCATTTTTTTGGTCAGGTCAAAGGTCAGGTCACCAGAGGTCATTGAAGGCAAAATTTCGCCGATTTCCAGGTCGAATGTCGAAAATTTCCAAGAAGCCAACGCATAACTCGGGAACCAATAGAGCTACAGCGCCGCGGAAAAGCGCATTCGATAGCCCTATTAACGCCCTTTCTGAGTAATTCTCTCAGATTTGACCTAACGTCAACGGTTTTGCCTGCAGGGGGCAAAAACTGCAAAAATAGCCGATTTTTTCGGAAACAGTTTTTCTGCAATAACTTTTGACCCAAGCCCTGTACGAGCTTACTTTTACCGGCATCGTGTTCCTCTTGTCAAGACGCATCGAATGAACTATAACTTGACCTTGAAAGGTCAACTTGAAAATTTGACCTCAGGTCAAGGTCATGACCTGACCGGAAAGGGTCATGTTGCATATCAGTCGATCCGTATCGTCGAGCTGAACACATCTAAGGTGTTTTCATCGCTTTAGCATGCCTCTATCAAAAGTTATTTGCGAAAAACTGTTAGATACTATTCGTGACCTAAGATGACCTCAGGGCATAAACAAGGGTCACGGACACCATTTTCATGTTCAGTGTGTCTAAACCACTTGTAATTCGGTGTTTGGGAGTGTTTATAATGTCTTTCATTCAAAAGAGGCGCATTTCAATTTTCTCCCATTGACTTATAATGGGGAGGTCGCAAAATTGACCTGACCTTAGGTCATCGATATCAAAAATCTGAGATAAACATTTTGTACATGCTATCGCTCTTAGCAATCGCTGAAAGTTTCAAAGCGATCGGTCACTCGGTGTAGCTATGACAGACATTGAAACTTTTTATGAGGTGAGGTCACTTCAAGTGACCTGGTGACCTGACCTTGAATGACCTTGGTCTGAAATTTTTACAACATGTGTAGAATTGATGTATGATAAGGTGTACAAAAAACGGCGGCGCTCCGCGCCGCCGTTTTTGAAATATTAGCGAACAACCACAAGGGGGGGTGTTCAAATACCCCCCCCCAGCAGGGCGCGGGTTAACGAGCTTGCAAAAGATGACTGATGTCATCACTGTCAACCGTGGAAGCCGTATGGCTACCCATCTACGCTGGAGTACGAAAAACATCATCTCACGCTCTCAGTCCCAGCGGATAAAAACAACACCTAAGAACAACACCTAAGAATAAAAATAAAGCGTTAATAAAACGTCAGCCAGGTAGTTTGCGCGGTTACTTCAGGTGCCTATTATTGGCGCTTCACCAAACCTTGTTTAAAATAAATGCAATGAGAGCGGCGTTTTAATTTGGTCGGTCGGTCTGCCAGCTATTTTCATCACCGGGTCAGCTGTGCCCGTCTCCTCAGATTGGACTCGTACCACAGAACCTTTCGTTGGACTCGATTAATGCGCCAGCGAGCATCTCGGGAACAAATAGACCAGTAATCCGGAAACTAACGGCAAATTTAGAATGCAACTTGAAACAACCTCGCAGATAGCCCGTTCTAGGACGGTATCGTCGAAATAACCGCTGGACAGAGCGAGCAAACAGTCGCCCAGCGGCGGCACGGCGCACGCAACTGCCGCCCGTCGCTGCCAACGCTGCCAACTGCCGTACGACTGCCGTCCAGCTGTCACAACAACGCACACTGCACAGTCGCCAGCTGACGCCCGCGTTCACAAATGACTCTTTTATAGTACAGCCAAGGCTGATTTATCATTAGAGCTTTGCGCCTTGCGGTGAAGCGGGATCAAAACTGGAGAGTGCAGACGGTACACCTTACATGATTTTGCGAGTGGGTCTTGGAGATAGTTAGATGCGTAAAATAAAAAGTGTCCTTGGTAAATGAAGATTATTCAATTTTCATTCCGTGCTTTGCTGAGCTCCACCTTTAGTTCCATCCCACGGTCTGCGCTCCTCACGTATCCTCCCATTATCCCTGGCTGCACCTGCCCTGGCCACCGGAGGGCAGAACATCTGTTTACCCAGCCGGTACCCGTGTTCAATGGAACATGGCAGAAGAGCGCTGCGGCAGTGATAACAGATAACTCCACCCCTCCACCCATACAGGGGCTCTGTCCGACAGACAGGCTTTGATCTCACCGCCACAGATCAGGACACCGGTTCCAGTGAGCCTGGCCCCCTGTGGTACTGTCACGACTCCCGCTCCATTCCCCTCGTGTTTAGCGATATCAGTCAGATCAGCGGTGCACAGACGCAGTTCCCAGAGCCGTCCCTCAGTCCATACAGATAACGATCAGTACAAGGGGGCGTGGTCCCGGCGAGGACTGACCCCGTTGCCCTATCAACTCCGTGGACAGAGTTATGGGGCAGTGACCTCGGGGAACTTGTCGTGCAGTATGGACATTGAGCTCGGTATAGCTTTCCAGTGGGAAGGGTAAGGCAGGGATGGACCAGGGGTGGTAAGGCACCTACGCCGCCCCAATACAGCTGGCAGTGCGCCCACACCGGAACTATCTGCCACATGTGACTGCATGACGGGACAGTGTGAGCAGACAGCGTGACGGGTGACGGGTCAGCGTGCACACTGTACAGCGCAGAGCGCAGCAGGTCGTAACGAGCCAGTAACGCCGTCACAACAGTGCAACATGGCGTTCCATGGTAACTCCGAAGTGGTACGGACATGACACAGGCGTGGCAGCAGGAATAGGAGGGTCAGGCGGAGCTTACCCAAACCGATCGAAACTTTCAGAGTTATATCGCACCAAGCCCTAACCCGCTGAGACCATAGCTTAGCTTTGGCAGACAGGATGCCAAATTACAAATCCCGCAGAGTGACAGATCTATCTATCACTGCCCTTCGCCATCCTCATTCTATCGGAATCCCTCCGGTGGTCCCGACATTTGCATCACCGCCCCGCACTGGTCTGAACGTCTGTCATCTCGCAGAATCGATGACCAGCCTAGTGACGGTCCAATGGGAGAACTCTCAGAGCAGGGTGCCGTCGTTGTGGGCAGATTCTCAGCGCAGGATGAGATCTAATTCCTGGGACATTCATCTCAATGTGGGTGTGGTGTTGACAGATTTCCTGGTTCGGGCGTTTCCAATAACGCATTTCTAGTGTGAAAATCCCAGACTTGAGTGTGCAATCGGTGGTAACGGGCGAACGTTTCTCACTCCTAAAGTGAGCGGGTCCACCCTCGGGATCTCTCGAGATCACCCCCGGTAATAGCTGCTGATGCCACCTGGGGCGTCAGCCACTCCCACCCAGCTCCGAGACCACTGTGGCTCCCAGATATTCAACGGGGAACACCGAAACTCCCAGACATTCACAGAGGACCACTGAGACTCCCAGACATTCACAGAGGGCCACCTAGACTCCAAGACATTCACAGAGGACCATCGAGACTCCCAGACATTCACTGGGGATCACCGAGGCTCCCTCACGGCTCAGGACCACTTAGAAGCCTGAACATTCACAGAAGATCACCGACACTCCCGGATATTGGCTAAGGATACCAAGGCTCTCTGAGATTTGCTGAGGACCACGGAGGCTCCCACCCGTCTGCCGGGGACCACCGTGACTCCCCCATCTCGCCCCACCAATAATAAACACGGCCGCCTGCAGGATACGGGGAGGGGCCGGGAGGGGGTGTGAGAGGAGACGGGCCAGGCGGTGCACGGTGTGATGACGAGGGCGGTCAGACGACCTGACAGAGGGGACCGCGAAGGGAAGGGATGGGTGGAGGCTTCGACAAAGCTCAACTGTGGGGAGTGCTGGAAGACGAGCAACAAATTCATACTCGCTAGCATGACTGAGACGGATAAAGAAGGGGAATCGCGACATGTTGTTCGTTTCTGCTCAACTTACCAGGCTCGGTTTTGCCAACTTCTGATACTCGTACATCTTCAACACTTTCTGCCTCCTGAAAACAGAAAGAGACATCGTCAGCCAGCTGCCAAGAACTGCTCCACACAACCTCACGAGTCACGGTACATTAGCAGCGTAATGTACCTACGAATGCACAAAAGATTGCAACGACAATGTCAACAGCAGACGTGGTTCACGTGGACAATTAAGTGGTTAACTGAACAAGTTTTCAATAAAATAAGGACAAAAAGCTGCATGGTACGATTTTTCTACACGACATCACAATGACCGTGGTGAATGACGTCGTTCTCAAAGGATGTACTTTGCAAAACCTAAGGCACGTGGCAACCAAACAGACACAACGCATTTCGGGAAGCCTCCTCGTATGTACGCCGTCGTTCCACAGCCGTTGACCAAGCCCGGCGTACAACAGGTGCCCGAGAGGACCGGTCCGCCGACGCCAAAACCCGACCAGCCGCCGTCTTATCGCCCACAACATCTGCACTCGCGTGCTGCCGCGCGAAGTGCTGCAAACATTCCGACACAAGGCGTGCTCAGTGGTGCCAATAGTCCTGGATCGGGGCCCGTCTGGCGTACATCCTATTTTTGCAGGCCAACCGCCTCACACGAGCGGCCAAATCCAAAACAAACAGCCACAATGGACTGCTGCGATCACCAGACGAATAACCCAGGCCTTTGCCGCTACCAGCCGGGACACCAGAAAACACATCCGCACTTCTCTGAACACCGTTTTGTCATCACCTCCACAAAAGCAATCAGCAAGCTCGATTTAAAAAGCTATTCAGCTAGGATGCACTTCCAATGGGGAGTATCTGAATATATATTACTGAACGGCTCTGGGAAAGAAAAATGGAAACCGAGGTCTTTAAAAAATTGTAGGCACGAGGCGTAGCCGAGTGCCGGAGATTTTTTGAAGACCGAGGTTTCCATTTTTCTTCCCAGAGCAAGTTCAGTAAGATATTTCCCATACGTCGTTTAATATCTATTCAGAAACTCACAATTTAATTATTGAAATCACCTTTTTTAAGATTTTTATCAAAAAATCACCAGAACTGTAGGTCATCAACCCGTGCCGGAAAACAGTGCAGGAAAGATCACGTGCAAATGTTTCCCGCACGGCTAGGATAATGCTAAAGGGATATCTCGGCGTATGGGAAAGTGTCTTCCTAACCCTACAAAGACCTGGGTCATGGGTGGCCTGTGCAGTGTGCATCACTTAGGTATATGAAGCAGATGGAGAGGAGTCCCTCGAAAGCGTGTCGTAGCTCGAAAGTTCACAGTGAGGCTTGGTAGTTCAAGCCCCCGAAAGGTGTTCAGAAAAGCAACTTCACTGTTTTTCAAGAAATCAACGACATTTTGTTTGATTCTGTTTCGGCATTGTCAGCAGAAGTTTACGTTTAGGGTTACCGGTCACACTTTTCATCAAAACGAGGTTACATAACCTTTATCTACTGAGTTCGACCATAACGTCCCCAAAATAACAAACGCCAATTCTCCAACATTCCCTCCTGTTTCTGGAAGTCGCCCCGGCGTCCGACAGCGCATTCCACCCCACTACGCCGACACCTTCCCTCCGCGGAGATATACAGATGATAAACGGCCCACCACTAAATGCTAATTACCAGTTTTCCGTCAGCTTCGGTATGATTGATCACGAGGGCGCCAACCGGAACGGATGGGACTTACGCAACTCACCCACTCCCGCCGCCAGTACATTTCGCAACCGCACTATAAATGCAGGACGCCCAGACCATCTGAGGCGTCCGTGCACGCCGGCTGTCACCACTGGTGGCTAAATATAGGAGACGCACAATTGCTCCCGACTGAAGTACGGCGGACGCGTATTAGCATATCGCGGGTGACTGTGTCAAGATCAACATCGAAGGTGTCAAATAGGAGTGCAGAAGCTTGCAGAACGATCTCAAAGATCGCAGCCGCATGTAAGCGAAACAAGTCGGATACATAAACATTGCAGAACATTTGACCACGAGACGCAAAGCACATGACTCCTCGTCCTCAGCCAGAAAAAGAAACGACTTGACGAACCTCGATGCTCTTCGCATGCCAGACATCTTCATCGTTCTTCTCATTTCTCAAAACAATTGCAGATGGCTAGAAAAGCGTTCCTCTCAGTCCCCGCGCGGACCTACCCCACATGTGCCGGTACCGGCGGACCGGAGTGCCCCGCCCCCTCGCGGACCGGTCCTGCCGGCCGCCCAGTTCACGGTCACGGCGCCGGACGCCGACTGACACACGTGCATCAAGTGCTATGATATTCAGATTCACTTTCAAATGCACATTCAAAAAAACTCACCAAATGCAAAGTTTTGGCTACCATCGTGTAGCCAGAAAAGCCCTGATTCTGAAAATATATATCCCAATACATGACACTCAATAGTTTACGAGATATACCTGTTTTCCTTTTGAAGGTCATTCAAGGTCATATAGTGGCAGGTCATCACAAAAACTCACCAATATACACCAAAATTACAGGATATATAGTCCAAAGCAGCCTCCATCGAATGGTGGTAGTCACTATTCATGACACTTCTGCGTTTTTGGTACAGGGGCCATTTTCAATTTTCAAATGCCTATCTCGCTAATGTTAACACTGCCTGACTTAAAGGCCAATAACTCCCAAAGTACATCACCGTTCTCTGTCATCTTTTGGTGACACATTTGCAAGGCCCTGGGGCAGTTTTTGGTCAAGTGCCTACCCATGACGCCTTCTCAAATCGTTTGTACGCGGGTTTGAAAATTTGATATTTTTGGTCATAAGGCCAAAGTCAACAAAAAAGAACTCACCAATATGCACAAAAATTACAGGATATATAGTACAAAGTGACCTCCATCGAATGGTGGTAGTCTCTATTCATGACACTTCTGCGTTTTTGGTACAGCGGCCACATTGATATTCAAATGCCTATCTCGCTAATGTTAACACTGCCTGACTTAAAGGCCAATAACTCCCAAAGTACATCACTGTTCTCTTTCATCCTTTGATGACACGTTTGCAAGGCCCTAAGGCAGTTTTTGGTCAAGTGCCTACCCATGACGCCTTCTTAAATCGTTTGTACGCGGGTTTGAAAATTTGATATTTTTGGTCATACGGCCAAAGTCAACAAAAAAGAACTCACCAATATGCATACAAATTACAGGATATATAGTCCAAAGTGACCTCCATCGAATGGTGGTAGTTTCTATTCATGACACTTCTGCGTTTTTGGTACAGCGGCCACATGGATATTCAAATGCCTATCTCGCTAATGTTAACGCTGACTGACTTGGATGGGTATAACTCCAAAAGTACATCTCCGATCTTGTTAAACTTTAAGTGGCACGTTAGCAAGGTCCTGGGGCAGTTTTTGGTCAAGTGCCTACCCATGACGCCTTCTCAAAACTTTTTTACGCGGGTTTCAAAATATGATTTTTTTGGTGATACGGCCAAAGTCAACAAAAAAGAACTCACCAATATGCACAAAAATTTCGGCATATATAGTCCAAAGTGACCTCCATCGAATGGTGGTAGTCCCTATTCATGACACTTCTGCGTTTTTGGTACAGCGGCCACATTGGTATTCAAATGCCTATCTCGCTAATGCTAACGCTGACTGACTTGGATGGGTATAACTCCAAAAGTACAACTCCGATCTTGTTAAACTTTTAGTGGCACGTTAGCAAGGCCCTGAGGCAGTTTTTGGTCAAGTGCCCACCCATGACGCCTTCTCAAATCGTTTGTACGCGGGTTTCAAAATTTGATTTTTTTGGTGATACGGCCAAAGTCAACAAAAAAGAACTCACCAATATGCACAAAAATTACGGCATATTTAGTCCAAAGTGACCTCCATCGAATGGTGGTAGTCGCTATTCATGACACTTCTGCGTTTTTGGTACAGCGGCCACATTGATATTCAAATGCCTATCTCGCTAATGTTAACGCTGACTGACTTGGATGGGTATAACTCCAAAAGTACAACTCCGATCTTGTTAAACTTTTAGTGGCTCGTTAGCAAGGCCCTGGGGCAGTTTTTGGTTAAGTGCCCACCCATGACGCCTTCTCAAATCGTTTGTACGCGGGTTTCAAAATTTGATTTTTTTTGGTGATACGGCCAAAGTCAACAAAAAAGAACTCACCAATATGCACAAAAATTACGGCATATATAGTCCAAAGTGACCTCCATCGAATGGTGGTAGTCCCTATTCATGACACTTCTGCGTTTTTGGTACAGCGGCCACATTGATATTCAAATGCCTATCTCGCTAATGTTAACGCTGATTGACTTGGACGGGTATAACTCCAAAAGTAAATCCCCAATCTTGTTAAACTTTTAGTGGCACGTTAGCAAGGCCCTGGGGCAGTTTTTTGGTCAAGTGCCTACCCATGACGCCTTCTCAAAACTTTTGTACGTGGGTTTGAAAATTTGATTTTTTTGGTGATATTGAGAAGGCGTCATGGGTAGGCACTTGACCAAAAACTGCCCCAGGGCCTTGCTAACGCGCCACTAAAAGTTTAACAAGATCGGAGATGTACTTTTGGAGTTATACCCATCCAAGTCAGTCAGTGTTAACATTAGCGAGATAGGCATTTGAATATCAATGTGGCCGCTGTATCAAAAACGCAGAGGTGTCATGAATAATAGCGACTACCACCATTCGATGGAGGTCACTTTGGACTATATATGCCGTAATTTTTGTGCATATTGGTGAGTTCTTTTTTGTTGACTTTGGTCGTATCACAAAAAAAATAAATTTTCAAACCCGCGTACAAAAGTATTGAGAAGGCGTCATGAGTAGGCACTTGACCAAAAACTGCCCCAGGGCCTTGCTAACGTGCCACTAAAAGTTTAACAAGATCGGAGATGTACTTTTGGAGTTATACCCATCCAAGTCAGTCAGTGTTAACATTAGCGAGATAGGCTTTTGAATATCAATGTGGCCGCTGTACCAAAAACGCAGAGGTGTCATGAATAGAGACTACCACCATTCGATGGAGGTCACTTTGGACTATATATGCCGTAATTTTTGTGCATATTG